CTAACCTCGCGATATATATTTATATATATATATATATATATATATATATATATATATATATATATATATATATATATATATATATATATATATATATATATATATATATATATAAATATATATATATATAAATATATATATATATATATATATATATATATATATATATATATATATATATATATATATATATATATATATATATATATATAAATATATATATATATAAATATATATATATATATATATATATATATATATATATATATATATATATATATATATATATATATATATATATATATATATATATATATATATATATATATATATATATATATATATATATATATATATATATATATATATATATATATATATATATATATATATATATATATATATATATATATATATATATATATATATATTAGGACCCTGTGAATCACTTCGATTCGATTTGCGAATCAAATGTCGCTTCGATTCAATATTCGATTCGAAATAAATTCGAGCTTTTCGAATCATTTTTTTTATTTAAATTACTCTATGTTTTCATACAAACGGTGTTCAAAATATCAATATTTATATTATCAGAAAATTCAGCAGTAGAGTAATTTTGGAACGTAAACGTACTTCTTTAAAATTAATTGCTTTAAAAGCTTTTTTTTTTGCGTTGTTAATGTTTGACTTTGCTTTCACTAAAGTAATTTTAAATTCGATACTTTTTGTTTGTTCTACATCAAGCTATTTTCGCATTAAGCTATAAAATGACTAAAAAATCGGCAGTTAAAGAATTCTTTGAAAAAAAAGGTATATTCTGGCAATGCAAACAAGTAAATTGCAACAAAAAGTGTTCTGTTCACAAAACACAAAACTCTCATCTATGGAACCATTTAAAACGTGACCATAAAAAACTACACGTAGAAGCAACAAAAAAGCGCACATCTGCTACTAAAAGAAAAAAGAATTCCGATAACATAATCGAGCAATCATCAAGTTCCTCGTTAAATTCGTATTTTATTTGACCTCCAATAGATACAGTTGTTAAAAAAAACCACGATCGTGCAGTGCTTAGATTTATAATTGAAGATGGAAGATCATTTGAGACAACTTCTGGATCTGGTTTTATTAATCTGTGCTCGGTGCTTACTCAAGGACAATATTATCTACCACACCTGACCATTTTATCTCAAAATTTAGGTGATATGGTCGATGATTTTTATATTAACTTCCAACAAAGTATAAAAAGCCAGTTTATCTCCAAACCTTGCATCACTTTTGATCACTTTAAAGCCGACAATGGCGATAACTTTCTTGTTTTTACTTGTCACTTTATTTCATCCTCTTAGTTTTTAGAATCATGCTGTTTATCAGTTGTAAATCTAGATGTAATAAATGCTTGTCACAAAGCTACTTCCATTGGAGAAATTTTAAGAAACGTGCAGTCAAAATTTGACTTGACTTCAAATAATCTTTTTCGAACTACAACCGATACTACTCCTAGTATGCTATGCACACTTCTTGGGATTGATTGGCTAGGCTGTTGTGCTCATAAACTCCAACTTTGTGTTAAATCAGCTATACACAACTAACCAATTCTTGTTAAATTAATTAGCAAGGCTCATAAATTAGTAGGATGTGTAGTTACACATCGAGAAAAACTCTCGGAAGTAGTTACATCTTTCTAAAGATGTTATTAGACATCAATGAAATTTCGGATGTTGTTGCACAGATGTTAATTCAGTAAAGAAAAAAAGCGGATGATCTTACACAAAAATGTACGGATGTTATTTCACTACTCCACGGATGTTGTTGGACAGATGTAGTAATCTTTTCCCTTATTTATTACTACTGTTGCAAAGGTAAAATTTAACAATAAATTTACCGGAAAATTTACTTGTAAATTTTGAAAAATTACCGCCAGGTAGATTTTGTAAATTTTTAAAATTTAGTTTCTTTTTAAAATGAAAGACGATGTTAGTTGTTAAATAAAACGTATCATATTCAAAATATATTATAAGCTTTATTTTATTATATGTTTTTAATTTTTACTTTTTTAATTTATTTTTTATTTAAATGCTCCCAGAAGTCCTTACGGTTTTATCACAGAGCACCGCATTCAACTAAAAAGTTCACGCCTCCTTCCTTACCAATATCGCTTATTGAGCTGGATATAGTTGCTAAAATATACTTTGTGAAAATGTACGTTTGTTTAATCCACTGACTATTCTTTCATACAACTTGAGATAAAGTCTATTTTAATGCACATGTACTCATAGTAGTTAAAGTGGTTTTTAAGATATTTCCGTCAGTGGGTTATTATCTTTTAATTATCGGGTCTGCAAGGTAAATAATTAGATCAAATCTTACTGTGGACTGAAAGCAGCCTTTTATTTAAAATATAATATGCATATTAAGATTTTGTATTATATGTTTTGATATGATATAATTGCGATATATAGTGGAATCCTAACTTTAACTTTAATTTCCAAACCGTTGAAATCTTAAGTTCTTAAATGGTATTTTTAGGACAAGACTTTGCTCGGTGCTGGAATTATTTCATGTATCGAAAAGATAGTTAGACAATAGAATATTTCTCAAGGAAATAGAAGAAAAGGAGATATTACTAACAACATTTAATGTTTACTTTTACTTATTAAGTGAAAAAGCTTATAATTTTGTGTGAAAAAAAATTTTTTTTTTTTTTAGGAATTTTATTGATTTTAATACTTTGTAAAAGTTCTACCCCTTTTAATCTATAATAATGTTCAAAGAACATTACTATAGATTAAAAGAAATTCAAAAAGGGAGCTACTAGGTTTTATATTGATAACCGGTACTTTATATTTGAAGTATTTGGAGTCTTTATATATTATTGTTAAACAGTATTATTTTGTTAACGGTATTATTGTTATATATAACGGTATATTATTGTATTCTTTAAACACCTGGTTACATTTTTATTATGTTGTTAAACGGTTCTCGGTGACAGGATCTTACTATACTCTTCAAGTTTTCGTATTCATAAATTTTATGTACAACGGTATTTTACCAGAATATATATATTCATAAATTTTATGTACAACGGTATTTTACCAGAATATATATATTCATAAATTTTATGTACAACGGTATTTTACCAGAATATATATATTCATAAATTTTATGTACAACGGTATTTTAACAGAATATATATATTCATAAATTTTATGTACAACGGTATTTTACCAGAATATATATATTCTGGTAAACTTTAAATCTGAGTGGTAATTTTTCGTTTAAAAAAAAAAAAAAACTTTCAGGAAAAATTTAGGAAATCATTTGGGGGATTTACTCTTATTGAGTTATTTCTACGACATCAACCTAATTACAAGTATTACTTCTGTTGAGCACTTAGGCGTTGTCCAAATCAACTTAGAGGTTGAAAACTGAGTATAAAACCTAGTATTCATTTAACCAGGAATTTTTGACTCTACCTTCACTTCAATACTTTTTTTTCAAAACACGTTTCTCGATATTCCAATGAAAACAAAACATGTAAACAAAATGTAATGTTTGCTTTTTTTATTATTACTCTTATTACTATATATATTACTAAACTTACATCACTATTTATAACAAAATCATCCCTTCCCTAACAAGTACATTTTTTATACATTTACATACAAAAAAACAAACAAAAAAAACTTTCAGTTAATTCGGTATTCTATGTTACATAACATAATATTGATTTTTTAAACTCGTGAAAGAAGAGATCGAGAACAAAAGATAGTCAAATCCCTTCCTAACGTTTCTGTACATTTTTGGGTAACCCCTTCATCCCATACTTGCGTACATACTTTATTGAAGAACCTGTGTTAAAACTTTTTATAAATAATTCTCTTCAAGAGCAACCTCCTGCAAGTATCAAGCTAAATAGTGACCTTCTTCAAACTGCCATATTTTTATGTTGATGCTATTCACATTAGAAGGTAAACTTCCAAAAAAAAACTTTGAAAAATTACTATAATTTTTCAAGAACTGGACCAATTTTTCAGGAATGGACCAAATGGTGTCAAAAGCATTATAAACTTAAAAATAGAAAGGCTATATTTTTCAATGCGTATTTCACGTGATTGGTTACTGAACTAAAACTAAAAACAATATCATAGGTAAATTAAACATTTCGGTCTACCTCATTATCATAAAACTAAGTCTCACTAAATAAAGATTTAAAATTTAAAAGAAGTTATAGACTGCCAACGAAACTTCAGATGAAAATGAAGATTAAAATGAACAATAAATCAGCTTTTGCGTACTTTAAAACGTGATATTTTGACAAGTTATCTGTCAACAATATATATTTTATTCTTTTTTAGGTCTCAACTAGTTAATAAATAATAATGAAATGAAACAATCATGGAAAACTATGGAAATTGTTCTAATTTCAAGTTTGAAAATGCTTTTGACACCTTTTCACTATGTTTTCTATGACCTGATTTTTTGGCATAATGTCATTTTTTCAAGTTTAAAATATCAAATCTTTATGTACTAGACTTAAAAGTAAACACTTCAAACCATAGATAATGAATATTTATTTATTGTTGTGTTTTCTATTTTTTGTTATTGAACTATTTGTTTTATATATGTGTCTATTTTCTTGTATCTTTAGATTAGTACAATTATTGTTAAATAAAGCCTTAATCAAGAGATCAATCTTTTTATTAGTTCATAACAATTTATTTAACAAACATATAAAATTATTGGGAAATTTTTTTTTTTTTTTTTATTTTACTTCACCTCCTTAAGGCCGAGAAAGCCACTACAGACGAGGAGGCTACTTATTTTGTGGCTATAACCCTCTCTCAACTCTATAACTCCGAAACACGAACCTTGAAGAACAAGGCCGCTGCGCGGAGAAACGAGTTGAGCGCGGTACTACCAGGGACGTGGTGGGGATCGAACTCGGAACCACTCGTTTATGAAGCGAGCGCTCTACCACTACACCACTACCGCATTAAATGTCAAAGATCTTAAAACCGACGAGGCTTGATCTTGATCATAATGCACCAACTTCTTCAAAAGAATGGAAGCATTGGAAACGAATATTTGAAAATTTCATTGAAGATTGTGGAGAGGATGCTCCAGACAAATTTCGCTCTATCATTAATTTTGTTTCATCAAATGTTTATGATTACATTGAAGAGTGTGATTCCTATGAAAGTGTAATTGAAACCCTAGAAAACTTATATATAAAAACCCCTAATGAAATTTTTGCAAGGCATCAATTACTTGCAAGGCATCAAACATCGAGTGAATCCTTAGAAGACTTTCTTCAGGAACTTCGTAAACTCAGTAAAAACTGTAATTACAAGGATGTTTCAGCTGAACAATATCGAGAGGAACAAATAAGAGATGCTTTTATTTCTGGAATAAATTCGAATTACATTCGTCAACGACTTCTTGAAAATTCAACATTGAATTTGCAATCAGCATTTAACCAAGCTTGTTCTCTTGACATTGCACAAAGAAACTCAGATTCTTATATGCAGAAAACATCCTCCTTTTCCTCCAATTTAAATATTGCTGCCGCTATAAAATTACCAAAAGAACCCTCAGCAGCACTCAATGCTATGACTATTAATCCTCAAACAAAATGCATTTATTGTGGTAATCCATCTCACAACCAACGTAATCAAACCTCTGCTAGGAAAAATTGTCCAGCTCAAAATGTAACCTGTTTTAAATGAGGAAAAAAAGGTCATTTTTCCAAAGTTTGTCTTGGCAGACCGATGAATATAACCCACAGTGTTTCAGCTGCAATACATATACCAAGTTTGTGTACTGTTTCAAGTGGTTGTCCGTTGAGTCTCTCTCATGCAGCTGTTATTGTCAGAATTAATGATGAAACGTTAACTGCACTGATCGATTCCTGTAGCTCAGATAATTTTATAAGCAAGAAAATTATCGAGACTTTAAAAATTTAATTGTCACAAAGGAAAGTAGCCTATGTGCACTGCAAATGGCAAAAATAAAAATACCATCCTTGTTTACAAGCATTTCAGACAAAACTCAGCCAATAGCTACGAAATCAAGAAGATATAATAATGATGATCGAAACTTTATTGAAAGTGAAATACTACAGCTATTATCAGATGGTATAATTGAGCCATGTTTCTCACCATGGAGAGCCCAGGTAGTGGTCGTAAAGGATCTTACAAAATCTAACAAAAAAAGACTTTGTATTGATTACTTTCAAACAGTTAACCTTTACACTGAGTTAGATGCATATCCTCTTCCCAGTATAGATGATATGATAAATGGACTTGCAAAGTACAAAGTATTCTCTACATTTGACTTGAAAAGTGCTTACCATCAAATCCCTATTAAAACTTCAGACAAAAATTATACAGCATTTGAGGCAAATGGAAAACTATTTCAATTTTGCAGGATTCCATTTGGAGTTACTAATGGTGTGTCTATGTTCCAAAGGTCTATGAACAAGTTTGTTGAAGAAGAAAAGTTACATGACACGTTTCCATATCTTGAAAATATAACCATTGGTGGTTATGATCAGGCACATCATGATAAAAATTGTCTGCGGTTTCAAGACGCTTCACAACGTTGGGGTCTAACTTTAAATGAATCAAAATCGGTTATTTCAGATTCTTCTATAAACATTCTTGGTTATTGCGTTAGTCATAACAACATAAAACCAGATTCTGAGCGATTACGTCCTTTAGACTTACTACCTCCTCCTTCTAACATTTTATCACTTCGGCAAACTTTGGGTATGTTTTCTTACTATTCAAAGTGGATACCTTCGTTTGCTAATAAAGTTCGGCCTTTAATTAATGTTAAATCCTTTCCTATCAATAGTGAGGCACTTGAAGCATTTCAATTTCTTAAAAGAGAACTTCATGCTGCCACTTTGAGTTCTATTGATGAGAGCTTACCTTTTGTTGTTGAATGTGATGCATCAGATGTAGCCGTATCTGCTACTTTGAATCAAAATGGTCGTCCCGTTGCCTTTATGTCTCGAACATTAGGCAAAAGTGATATCAATTACCCATCAGTAGAAAAACTGAAGCTGTGGCTATTATTGAAGCCGTTCGAAAATGGCGACATTTACTGTTACGGAATCAACTTAAATTAATTACTGATCAGCGTTCTGTAGCTTTTATGTTTGATAACCGAAAGAAAACAAAGATTAAAAATAGTAAGATTCAGTGCTGGAGGATGGAGTTAGCAGAGTTTAGTTATACTATATCGTATCGTCCTGGAAGCGTTAATATCGTCCCTGATGCACTCACACGTGCTTTTTGTGCTACAACCCAATCTCAAACAAACCTAAGTGGTATACATAGCTGTCTATGTCACCCAAGGGTTACTCGTATGCTTCACTTTGTTAAATCTAAAAATTTACCTTTTTTTACAGAAGAGGTCAAGAGAGTTTGTTCTAACTGCCAGATTTGTTCAGAATTAAAACCAAAGTTTTATCGATCCTCAAATGTCTGTGAGTTAATCAAGTCAATACGTCCAATGGATCGCCTAAGTATAGATTTTAAAGGACCATTACCATCTAATTCTAGAAATAAATATCTGTTTACAGTCATTGATGAGTATTCTCGGTATCCATTTGCTTTCCCATGTCCTGATATTAGTTCAACAACTGTTGTGAAGTGTTTAGATCAAATATTCTCCTTTTGCGGTTTTCCAACGTACATTCATTCCGACAGAGGCTCATCTTTCATATCTAATGAACTAAAATCTTACCTTACTCAGAAAAGAATTGCAACTAGTAATTCTACCCCATATCATCCTATCAGTAATGGACAAGTTGAGAGATATAATGGCTTGATCTGGAAAAATATTTGTTTGGCACTAAAAACCCACAACCTAGATGTTAGAAATTGGGAAATTGTTCTATAAGACGCTCTCCACTCTCTCCGTTCGCTACTTTCAACTGCAACTAATTGTACACCCCATGAGAGGTTATTCAGTTTTCCTAGGCGCTCGTCATCCGGAACTTCGTTACCCTCATGGTTAACTCCTAGCCCAATTTTTCTAAGACGTTTTGTGCGTACAAACAAGAACGATAATCTCGTGGATAAGGTTGAATTAGTGGATGTAAATCCAACATATGCTAATATTCGTTACCCTGATGGACGAGAGTCAACTGTTTCACTTAAAGATCTTGCACCGTATCCTGCCCCAAAAGAAAAGTTTAATGATATCAATGAGAATAGTATCAATGAGTCTAGTGAGAATATAACTGCGAAAGTACTTGATGTAAATAAAGACCCCTCACCTGAAATTGCATCGGAAATCAGAGTTAGGGTAGATGAGCCAGTAACTGAGCCGTTTGCTGATGTATTACGACGTTCTGCCAGAGCTTGTAAAGCTCCTGTAAAATATGATGACTATATTTTAAAATGACAAAACTAGTTTATGGGCCTTTTTCTACATATATGGGAAGATTGTTGTGTTTTCTATTTTTTGTTATTGAACTATTTGTTTTATATATGTGTCTATTTTCTTGTATCTTTAGATTAGTACAATTATTGTTAAATAAAGCCTTAATCAAGAGGTCAATCTTTTTATTAGTTCATTACATTTATCTTTTAAACATTTGTTTTATTTAAAAGTATTCAAAGTTGAAACATGTTTATCTAAGTTTATTTAAACAAAATTGTCTGTAAAGTGACGAATAAACTCCTTAGGGTCTTGGTCCCACACGAATTAATACTTTTGTGTTGTGTAAAACGCATTATTTTTATATAGATGAGTACTTAAAAAAAATGCATTTGTCAATCAAAAAAATTAATCACCCTCAAAAAAATAAAATTTTTAAATAAGATGAATTTCTTTGCAAAAATTAAAATTATCAAATTTTAATTAGATTTTTAAAAAATTGAGTTTTGATCTTTGTGTTGTTATATTCGAATTTTATTAGAGAAACGGTCCCAGAATTTTTTAGCTGCTACTACCTGTTACCTTTAATGTTATTAATTTTTTTTTCAGATATGAACCGGTTCATAATCCAAAATTTATTTAATATTTAATTAAAAAAACAAGTTAAAAGTTTATAAATCTGTTTAATCATATAAACAAATCTGCTAAAAAAATATACAAACAAGTAAAGTGAAAAACCAAGTTCATATTTTGTGCAGTACATTTCAAAAAAATGGCAAGCTAAAAGAAACAAAAATTATTTTGAAAAGAATCATATTTTTATTCGACAACGTTAAACCTTCCACACCTGTATGTCGACCAACGTTATCTTACGATAAAAAATCAGAAAAGATCGAAAAGACTGGAAGCGTAAGAATTATCTTATTAAAAGCACCATGAAACCAACTTAATAATACAAGCTGTAAGTATGGCAGCACGTCAACAGAAAAAACGAGATTTAGCGCGAGTTCTGCAGGAATTAAATAAAAGCCTAACCCCACCCACAAAAATTAGAAAAACTCTAAAATAGAAATAGAAAGCCCTTGAGTTAATTTTGGACTCTTATTTAAATCTACCCCAGTATCAAAAATTTTGACGAATAAATAAAAAAACTTTAACAATATCTTTGCCACAAAATAAAGTTATAAATATAACATATAAGTTATTTAAGACGTTAAATGGAAAAGTTTTGAATACCTTAACTCAATCTAAGTGAAGCCAGTCATGCCCAATTTGTAGTTGAATGTCTAAAAAGTTTTTAAAAATAAAGCCTTTTATGCCCAATTTGTGGTTAAATGTCTAAAAAAATTTTAAAAATAAAAGATTTAAAATCGTAAAAAGTATTTCAACTGAAACCGGATATTTAAAAATATGGAACCAGTCCATTACATACCTGAATCAGATTTTTTAAATGTATTCCCCACTTATCTTACAGTGCATTTGGCCAAAAAATCTAAAATATCGAAGTCCAATATCTCGAAAACAAATAATTTAGCATTGATTTTCTTATATTACTAGCAAATGCATATTAAAAAAATAACAATTTTGAAGAGGCTTCTTAATGAGCTTTACCTGAGTCTTACAGATAACGGTTTTTAATCAAAAAAAAAAAATCGGTTATTTTATTCTTATTATTTCAATACCCTTTAGGTATTTTTTTATATATATGGTAGATGAAGAGCCAATACTCACTTTTGAAAATAAATTTTAGCCATTATGAGGTCGCATAAAATTGCGTTAATCGATTACTCTCATCTAAAATTTCATTTTACTAGATAAAGATTTCTAATAATAAAAAAAATCATAGGGTTACTTGCTTGAAAGTAAAAAAATGAAGATCAAAAATAACGAAAAATCAATTATTGCGCACTTTTTAAGCATGGTATTAAGACAGGCCGAAATATTTACTTTACCTATTTTATTATTTTTAGTTCTAAACTAGTCAATAAAAAATAATCAGGTAAAATACCCATTGAAAAGTATATAGTTTGCTCTTTTTTTTATGTTTAAAAATGCTTTTGACACCATTTGATAAATATTTCTAAAAAAATTAGTAAAATTAGAAATCCCATATCTTGAGAATCAATTTTTTTTCTTCAAAATTTTGGAATAAAGCTTTTAGTATGAATAGTAGCATCATATTGATAAATTATGAATTTTAGAGGAAGAAACTATTAAAAGTATTGAATCTTTCTATACTTACCTACATACTCTTAAACATTGAAATTTAAATATAAAATATCAAAAAAGTTGAAAATAACATTTTCTATAGATAAATCTTTTGCTAACAAAAAATCTCAATAAATCTAAGAAAACATTTACAAAATCTTAAATTAGAATAATTATACAAATATATAATATAACAATCATATACTGGAGTAAAATAAATACTATATATAGCATGTAAACTTACAGACTAACACACATAAAATTGAACAAAAATAATACATAAATATATATAATTATAATAATAAATAATGACCAAAAAAACCAACAAATACAAATTTCATTTTTATTATGATCATTAAAAAAACCTAAAAAACCTAAACAATAAAAGAACAGAAGAAAAAGAAAGCATTTACAAATAAATAAGGATCACAAATACAACCAATCCAGTTGGTTTCACATATTATCCAATCCAGTTGGTTTAAAATTTCAATAATGTATTCATATTTTAACTATCAACATTTTTTTAAATAAAAAAGATTTAAAAAATACTTTAATCTGTTTTAAATTATTTGAGAAACTCTCAAATTTTGGCTAGGTTTAATTAAAACATTCCAAATGTTAATAATGCATTAAGTTAAATGTCCAAGATAATCTAAAAACTGAAAACTAAAAGTAAACAATTAAGTGAGCTTTGCACACTTTGTATTATAGGTATGTTCTTGTGTTAACGAAGATGCTTGGTTAAATGGGTTGAAACATTCCATGATTTGTGCCCCGTTTTCTGAAGAGTCAGAGTCTGAGTTTAACTGGCGCACAGTTACAGAAGATAAATATTCATCTAAAGTATCCTCCGTACACCTTGCAACAAAACGTATAAATGGTCTAACATCACCCATGTTCGCAGTTTGTAAAAGTTCATAATACTCATACCTCTGTTCTTTACGTATTATAACTGGTGGATAGCCAGCTCGCATTAGAAATAAGTTCATAAGCAATCTTGATGTTCTTCCATTGCCATCAATGAATGGATGAATATAAACAAGTTTATAATGAGATAGAGCAGCCATTTCTATAGGATGCAACAATGTAATATCAATTGACGACAACCATTTTTGAAATGCATCTAAATATTTCACCATATCCAAAGGGCTCGGGGGGATGTGATCACCTAATAAAAAATGAAGACAAATAAAGCTCCATTTCACAAATGATTTAAATACAAAGTCTAATTTTAATGTTAAAAATTATAGTTCTTCTAGAATTTGTTTTACGTAATATTATATATTGTATATTATAAATATTATTGTATATTGCATATCTATTTTATGTATATGTATGGAGTGGGTTTTAAAACAACATTTTTCATACATAGATTAGATACAATTTTTGAAATATTGAAACATTAATACAAATATCTTTGCGTATCTTGGAATCAGAAAAAATGAGGTCGGCAATAAATTGCTAACATAAAACTTTTAATGGTGTGCGTCAGATTGGCCAAAATATTTTGACACAAAGTGGTTACCATAAAACATGGAAAGATGTCGGCAATTTTTTCCTGACATCAAACAATTTTAGGTCAGCAGATAAGTCGACATTGCAGAATGCTGACCCTAATTCTGAGGGCTGTATATATTTTTTACTGTAAATCATGCGCGGAGTGTTGCTACATCGACTATCTTATAGCTTACTAATACAAGGAAGTGTTGCTACGTCAACTATCTTATAGCCTGCTGCTACAAGAGAGTGTTGCAAAATTGACTGTCTTATAGCCTGACTTGCAACGGAGTGCTGCTATATCGACTATCTTACAGCCTGACTTGCAAAGGAGTGCTGATACATCAACTAAGGGGTTTAGTTGGGGCAAATAATCAATTGTGCTTTTAATGTAACTTTTT